ATACGCTCGAGAGAAATATGTATAGAAATCCGGCGAATTTATACACGAGGTTTCTATTCATTGGCCTGGGCATCGTATAGGGGATTTTATAGGGATTATTCCATACGATTTATTCCTATAAGCTCGAGAGAAATGCGTATAGAAATCCGGCGATTCTATACACGAGGTTTCCATTCATTGGCCTGGGAATCTTATAGGGATTTCTATAGGGATTATTCTATACGAATTATTCCTATACGCTCGAGAAAAATATGTATAGAAATCCGGCGAATTTATACACGAGGTTTCTATTCATTGGCCTGGGAATCATATAGGGGATTCTATAGGGATTATTCTATACGATTTATTCCTATACGCTCGAGAGAAATGCGTATAGAAATCCGGCGATTCTATACACGAGGTTTCTATCTGTGACATCCGTCAGAAAATTCATTTTAATTCATTTTCGTACGTCGTCATTCAATTATCTCAGTGGTAGAAGCGACTTTTGAAACCCAAATTATCTTCTGTGACGAGGGAAAGTGACCCCCTCGATGTTGGGAATATTTCGGCTGCACACATCTGTGAACGATAAAAATGTTCCCAACGTCAGTTTTAGGAGTTTCTCCTAGATTAAGGAGATATCAGCCGTGCAATATCAGATGCACTGTAAACATTTGAGCCTAGTCTCGTGTCCTTAATCATGTACTTTCCACGTGTGACCGTAAAGTCCAATAAACACTGGACTCTTGAACCGGAAAACTGTTGATAACAAATTCTAAGCGTGGGTCCAAATTTTGTAACTCCCACGACAAATATTTGATATAAAAATAGAGTAACGATTTCGTTTCCCACATGGAGGAAATGACATAAACATTGACGAACATGTGACACAAAAATAGTAAAATGCATCATACAACAGAATGATTCTTTTATGAATAATTTTCCATTTCGGATATTAATTAAACTATCATAATTGTTTAAGAAATATTATCAACGTGGGAAAACCACAAAATAATTAAAGTTTAAACAATATTTTTATGTCATTGAATTATTATTGAATTACTATTAGATTACTATTTTTCTTCACTGAATTATAATTTATCATAACATTTCATGAAATTTATCTGAATTGTTTCTAAAAAATTAAATAACAAAGATGTTAACGCTAAGTTGAAAATAAGAGATAAAAGAGAATTGTGGAGGGAATATATGGGCATTCCTAAAACAATTTTCATTGGTTGTTGGGGAATAGAAAAGACCGCCTACACCCCAAAAACATCTTCATGTAGAGAGATGGAGTTGATCTCGAAACAAGGAGATTTCAAACCACTGGAGTGGGAAATTTCGGCTAGAGTCATTTGTAATTGGTCCCCGAAATTTCCCTATGCATTCTGAGGACATACCCTTCTAGATAAACTATAAAGACTTGTGCGCGATAGCAGCACAACAGTTACAGTTCCGATTGCATTTTGTAGTCATCGCTACAGTAGAAGTAGTAGCTCATATCTGAGAGTTAGTATACTCCAGTTTCTTTTGGACACAGTTCCAATTTTATTATCGACCTATTAAGGCGATATTTCGGGTTTTTCGCGATCTTTAATTTTCATATAGTCTTGGATGACTATTTAATTTCCATTTTAGTCTTTCGTGACTAAATTATTTTCTGAAATCCCAAGTCTTGTGACATTTTTAATTATTTTATTCATTTAAATAAATAATTTAATCCAACGTCTTAAATTCAGTGCGGCATTACTTTTAACCACATACAAAATATTTTTACGACTGAAAGCAGAGCAGTGAATGTAAGTCGAATGTTGTAGTTATACTTTTCTACTTGTTTTGTTAAAATATAGACTCTATTGAGTCACTTTA